AATAGAGTAATTTATGAACTAGCTGTTTCAAAACTTCGTTACGAGTTTCTAGTTCTTATGAATGAAAAATTTGCCAAAATTTGTTCGGCTTTCTTCACATGATAGCAAGTTTTCGTGATTTTTCCAACCTTTTATTAGAAGACAATTCATATTCTTTAATACTGTTAAATTATTCGTTCCCCCTCTTATAACGTGGAAAAGTTCGACGAGGTGAGAAAAAATTATCCTATGACCAAGTAAAAATGGTAACCTTTGAAAGGCAGAATTTCTGGTTTCGTCCACCTAAAACATAAATTAATTCGCTTCATTAAACCTTGGAATTATTATTGGAATTCATGAAAAATCGGAATTTTGCGGGAAAATTTGCAGTAATGATTGTAATAGTGCACTGTTCAAATTTTTTGGTACCATAGAAGTACTGTACATTAGTTTCAGCATAATAAATAACCCGGTGTTTAATACGAAGTTAAGCTAAAAGATTATGGTAGGTTCACCACAAAATATAATTTCAGAAGCAATTTTAAACGTTAAATAATTTCCGAAGTCTACAAAAATCCATTTATTTTAAAGAAAAAATACGGTATGTGCAGTTCAAAATTAGGAAAATACTGTATATCCGGTTTTTGCCCCGGTGTACATTTGAACTTTTTTTTCATGACATTTCTGATGTTCTTCAAGTGTGGAGCAATTTCAATTATTTATATTGTAAATAATATTGGGTTTCTTTAATTGAGAAAAAATAGAGTTCTTACCTAATATTGGATTTCCTCGTTTTGGGTAGCCGTTGATGGTCATGACGTGAGAATGATCTGCACCCACGAGGATTAGGGTATCAACTGGATTTGTGCTAAGCAAAGCAGTATTAATTGCTTTTTCCAATGCCAAAGTTTCCAAAATGGCGCGTTTTGCGTTTGTGCAATGCAAGGCGTGATCAATTCTTCCTCCTTCCACCTTCAACAGACAAATAAAGTGCGAAAATCGTTCGAAATCTCTCTAAAATACTGGTTCAGTATAAATATATATAACCTTAAAGTTTCTGTCTTAGCATCGATTGTTTATTCCTTTAATTTGAAAATGTAGCATGAAAAATATTAAGCTCTTGAAACTCTGCTGTAGGAAAAAGGAATATTTTCGTTAATATGCCAGGATTTTGTTTACGATCTTGGCAATTTTTTTAACAGGCAGTTTTAGAAAATACTGTGCTTTGCTTCCTATCTGTCTACACTCACCAAAAGGACAAACCCATTTGGATTCTGAAGTAACTCAATGGCAGCTTCTGTCATTTCCGCCAAAGTTGGTTCACCAGAAACCGGCTTCTTTTTTTCCGATTCGAATTCCATGTGGTTTTCGCTGAAAAGTCCTTCAGAAAAATATCCTTTCCTTTCATTGAAAGCCATTTTCCCGAACAAAAAATAAGAAATAGCGAATTTCGTATACATTTTCTCCATTTTTTTTTCGATGGATTCCGTTGAGAGAAAATGAAATTTTTTTTTTTTTACCTAGCACTCGATCAGGAGCACTTGCAATTGCGTCTTTCAATTGATACTTATTTTCTACGTATCTCGCAGAAACGTTTGACAAAACAGCATTGTGTAGCCATTCCTGAATCAAGTCCCTTGCGTCATTTCTTCTCCCTTTGCCTGATGCCGAATTTCTTGGCTGGAAATTCCGCTTCCCGCCGCCAAAGACCACCTGGAAAATATTTACAATTAATTGTCTAAAGTTTAAATTTATGAAAAAATTTTATATCTTGCATTGAGTCGTTTTCCTGGGTCATTTTCTATGAGTTGACGAGCCAGATCTGGACACGCTCGTTTTGCAGGCGGTATATCAGAGTCTGCCTCCCAGTTTCTATCTGGAGAACGTCCAAAAGCTGCTGCTGGTGTTGCGTGAGTTATACGGGTGGTGGAAACGATACCTGCGAGCGACACCTATTATTGTTTAGAAAGACTCTTTTTCTCGAATCTTCAATAAGTGTGCGTCAGAGGTCAATCGGCGTTCTCATACGCGCTGGGCCTTTTTCTGCAATAGATTTCTTTAGTCCGGAGAGAATATTGAAATTAATTTTTCCTTTGCAATTTTTATGCAAATATTTCTTGCGCTGCAAAACATATATAGCCTTCATTCATTTAGATAGTGACACAAGATTTTCGTCCATTCTGCGTATGATAATGATTTTATCTTCAAGTCAGTCCAATTTTCACTTCACGATTTTATTTTCTGAGCATCTGCTGTGGAGCCCCACAGAAAATTCATGAGGAGCCCTTTTGGGGCTCCGTGGAATTCTGATTGAGGGTAGTCTTGATTGTGGTTGCAAAATTTGAAGCTCACTGGATTATGTACTTACCTGTCTTTTTCCCTGCATTCTGGGCATGAGTCATTATGGAAATTGGCAAATGATCTTCATCTAATTCAGAATNTGGCAATCCCCAGATGCCTTGGGAGCTGCAAGATCCTCCACAATTCCTCAGACTTGGTATTCAAGAAGAAATTCCTGTCTGGGCAAGATTCAATGGTGTCCATCAAGGAGTTTTCTTTGAGAAATTGAACAGGTGGACTTTCTAGAACTAAATTCAAGGGACCAGAACAAAATCCGTTCAAAGATACATTTGTTACAGAGAACCCTATACAACATGGGGAGAAAACTCTATGGGATCAAAATTGTTATGCAGAGAAAATTTTGTAAAAAATATCATTGCAGATGAGAGAGTCCACCTGCATCAAAATTATGAATAATGTTGCTCTATTTCTGTCCCCTGAACGATTCTTGAAAAAAGCCTTCATAGTGAGGTCTTGGTCAACATACAAATTGTATTCCAATGACATTTATTTAAGGTGGATTTTCAGAAATGGCCATTTTTGCATTTATGTTTGCTCACTGGATTAGAATTTGGAAGCTGGTGCCTTAGGAACATCAAATTTCTTGGCTGTGAGGTTTATCACCCAAAGACCACAAATTAGTGATTCCAATTCTTTAAAGATTTAATAAACTAGTTCATAGATGCTGGTTCTCAATGTCTTTATAAATGTGAATTTTTTAGCATAAACAGTCAACCCCCGCAAAATGGATCTCCAGCCCAATGGATTTTTGCACAACAGACTGCCTCTGGAGGCAGTGTTCCCTCCCACAGAAGGGATTAAATCCTCATAACAGACTTCTGTTGGTTTAAAATTAATGCTGAAAAGTAAAAATTTTTATTTTTAATAATTGAATTTGCACGAAAGACTTTTCACCCAACAGAATATTAGTATTATGCAAATGAAGTCCGTTGTGGGCGGGTTGACTGTAATCCAGAACAATTGCACACTTTTTGATTTTTTCTATGAAAAGGAACTGGTTGGACTCAGTAGCACCTTCAGCAAATAAGGGGTCAAAGATGGCATTCACTCCAAGGGCACAAAGGCTCAATGAAATCATTGACCAGAGACTCATTTCCTTTCTCAGACTAATTTACAGATGGTTCTCAATATCTTTAGAAATATGAAGCCTTGGAAATGTATTCCAAAACATATTCACACTTTTTTCAATGTATACTTTTTTTTCTTTGCAAAAAGGAAGTGGTTTGACTCAGCACCTTCAGCAAAAGGGTCAAAGATGGCAGTCACTCCAAGGGCACAAAGGCTCAATGAAATTAATGACCAGAGACTAATTTCCTTTCTCACACTACTTTACAGATGGTTCTCAATGTCTTCAGAAATATGAAGCCTTGGAAATGTATTCCAAATATATTCACACTTTTTTCAATACTTTTTTCTTTGCAAAAAGGAAGTGGTTTGACTCAGCACCTTCAGCAAAAGGGTCAAAGATGGCAGTCACTCCAG